CCCCCCCCCCCCAAGAAAAAAAATTTATGAATAATAATAATAATATAAAGCCATATTGCATATGAACTACTGCTATAGTTTATTATTATATTTATAGTACTTATAGTAAGTTAAAGTCATAGTAGGTTATAGTTACAGTAGGTTATTGGTCTATTCTCGGATGTTACTGGAAGCCTTGTGTAGATGTATTATTCCTAAATATATTTTATTGCCTAGTCTTCGTATGAAGGTCTTTCAAATAAAACTAATGTTAAGTCTCACCGGTTGAATGGTTAAAGCACATTTTGCAGACGGCAATCACTAACGATTAGTCACATATCATTAGTTTATCTTCTTGATGGAGAAGATACAATCGATCCACTAGAAAGCAGCTATACATTAAGAGATATACTTCTTTTAACGAGCTTATAAAACTTTATTTCTGCTTCGGAAATATTTAATGCGTTAGATATCGTTGACGAAATCGAGAACTGTGTGGAAATCAAGGGTAATAATATCGTCCATTTTTATTTCCATTATTAAATAAATTTCATTCGCCTTTAAATATACCAGATGTAGGGTAAAATTCGTCCAGAGTGCATAACGTCACTCTAAACATACTATAACAATTCATATAGTATCAATTCATATAGTATTAATTCATATATTGTATATTTAGCGTTTATTGATTGGCGTTTGGTGGGAAAGAAAGAACTTCTAAAATCCTCAACTGGAATTCATTCTTATAAAATTATTATTCTTATGAAATTATTCAATTTGATGATATTAAAGAATTGTATGATAGTCTTTAAATTTCTTTTATTTTATTTAGAAATATATTGTTAAAGTATTTTTCTTTGTGTTTCTTTCTTTTTTGACACTCGCATGTTTTGCTTAGTTGCAAGTATGTATACATTGCTTGTCACGCATATGGATGAAGAGTTTTAAATGATAATTTTAACAACGTTTTTCGTACTTGTGGAATCAATATCTGTTTAATTTTTATCCTATTTTTACAAAAGCTTTGAGCAATTCTAATGATGTTTCATTTGTGTTTATAATTTTTGCTTAGTTGATAACTTGTTTAATTATCATAGATTTTAGCTTATTTGTCTGCTTAGTTTTATGTTTATGTTTGTGTTTATGTTATGTTTATGTTTGTCTGCTTAGTCTGCTTAGTTATATATAAGTTATTTTTCTGAAAATATTGTGCTTTTTCAACGCTGGATATATATATATATTTTATTTATTTTTTTTTTTTTTAAAGAGGAAAACTGCAGTTTTGTGATGCTTTCTAGTATATTGGAAGATCTTTACGTCATTGTCACGATTTTAATTAATCTTACTTTATTCAGAAGCAAATTTTTTTTAATTCTGAAACATCTTTAAAAAACAAGAAAAAAAGTTTTAAGAAAAAGGGGGAATAATGTATTACAAAAAGTAATAAAGATTAAAAAAAATTGACCTACATTTTCGTGGATAGGAAAGATTGAAAAAATTATTAGTATTTTTTTTCAATTGATCACTCCGATTCTTAAACAAGAAAAATTGATTCAAAGTATGACAAGCCAGCCATAGACTTTACATGTTAAAAGTAGAATTGAGGAGTCTGCTTGGTTCAACACTTTTCTCCCGGCAACCACGATTGTGGATCCGACTTTCTGATCATTTGAGCTCTTCCTGTGTTCTTTGTTCGCCAAGATCCATAGTATACTAACTACCGAGAAAAAGATCGACGGCGAAGTTACTCGAATCATT